CATATGCACAGAGTATTTCAAAGTCGGGACACCCGAATCAAGCTTTTTTACTTGTTTCACTTAATATTTATCTTTAGTTTAGCGAAACGTTTGAGTAAAATGGACCATGTGCAGCCTACTTTACTTAACATTGATTCTTAAAGATTGGCGCCTTCCCCAAAGCGGGTCTTCATCCATGCCCTATCTACCGCAGCTGTTACTGCAGAGTCGTTGCAGAGAAAGTATCATTAACTCGGCTAGCTTTCAGCCTAACGACGCACCTGTTCCGCATTCGTTACCTCCGTAGCATGTTAAGCTGAATTTATGCGCTCAGCTGACGCCGTGTTGTGCCTTCCAACGATACGAGAATGTTCTTTCGTAACTGTTCTCGCTTTGGTCTGCCATTAGGTTTATAATTGTCTTGTGCAACTTCTGGCAGGCGGCTCCCATTGTGCCACCTCCGCCCTCCCGTCTCGCATTCTATTCCACCCAGTCAGGTTTCTAAAACAGGCCACTTTTTGCCTTTGCCCTTATGTGCTTAAAGTTTCCTGTCGTGTTCCACTGTCGGCCCCACCTCCACACTTCGTGTTTCAGATTATGGTGCTTCTCTATGCGCCGGGACTAATACGCTACCTGCTAGCTTCTCATTCCACTTCATTGCAGCTTTCAGGCTCATTGGCTGCCCTGCCGATAGCTAACTGTTGATTTTGTGTGCATCTCTTTCTGTCCTTTTCACTCTTTATGGCTCACTCCCGCTGGACTCTGCGTCGATCCGCGACCGACACATATTCAGCTTCATGCTCTGTGCCTCTGCTTTCATTCTTTTAGCTTTCTGCTTGTTTACATTTTCACGCTTGAATTCTCTCCTGTGTTGTAATTTCAGTCTCTTTAGTTGCCAACTTAAAAAATCCAACACACACATTAAGCGACATGTACCGACTTTAGACACTGTTTGTTGCTGAAAAGCAGCACCGCACCATGAACGTCCCGCAGCCCTCATCTCCACCGCCTCATCAGTAGGGATGGCTTAGCCCAAAGGACAGGCACTCGCTTCCGCTTCCTACGCTTTCATCGCTATTACTTGTGTGGCACATAAATTTGGTTTAAAATGTATCTGCCTGTGTTGGTTCCTTGCTTTGTTTGTTGCTTTGTTTCGTACTTCCTTTGCCTTTGTGCTCATTTTCAATTTTAACATTTTAATGTTGTGGTCATAAAATTCTTTTTATTGGTTGTAAAATTCGGCCTGAGTAGAACAAATTAGCAGCATTAGCATTGGTATAAGTCCAACAATCACTTATTTGCTGCCTGCATTAAGGTGTGGCGATAAGGACGTCGAAGTGCCTGCAAAATTACTGGAGTCGAGCCATTTTATGTGCAGACAGATATGAGCAGCCTATTTAGATGCCCACTCGTTAAAAACTAATTTGCATTTGAAATTTTATTAAAGTACAAATTGAAAAGCTACAAAATCAAAAGCTTGAAGGTGAAGCCATAATAATGTGCAGACAGTTGTCTTATTAGAAATACTACAACTATCCGGTCTCCTTTTAAATCATAAATTAATTTGAAATTTTATTGTAAGGTAGAGTCTCAAAATTCAGGGTACAGATTTAATAATATTCGCTGAAATTTTCAAACGTAAATGCATTGATAAAAAAAAATGTTAAGTTATGAAGAAAGTTATGAAGTTAGAAATTTAGGCAAAAAAGGATCCGTCTGTCCGTCCGGCTGTCTGTTCTTGGAACGGATAAGCGCTCGACTATCCGAACTTGGAGTCTAAGCTCTCCCAAGTCCGAGGGAGGACAAGTTCGTGTTTCTTGTGTTATGCACCCCACTCGCCCCGCTACTAGTGATTTGCCATAGCTCCCGTAATTATTTTCTCAAACTTCACTATTATCAGGATTTATGGAACTCAGTAGAACCGACATACAAGTATGTGTCCTTATGTCTGGATTTATAGAACTTAGTAGTAATTTAATGGCTGTTACTCGTATTTTTTCGAATAATCCATGCGTTCATACAGATAGACATGTCTTAACCGACTATTCCTGCCGTGGGGGTGATCAGGAATATACTTAGTGGGGTCTGCAACGCCTCCCTTTTTGTCAGTTACTCAAACAGAGAGATTTAGTAGTAAAGATGCTAAGTGGATTTTAAATTGTTAGATGGGGGCTTGAAGGAATTGGTGTCCTACTGGACATCAAAATTATCAGTCCAAGCGTAACACATATTGTAATATTTTATTTATATTGTTGATATCAGAGCTTATTGTTTAATGTGCTGTCTGTCACTTTCCCCGTCGAGAGCCAATGTGCGATCATTTTATGACGGCCATGTCAAGAGGGCGCCATTTTTATCGGGTCACTGTCAAGCTGATGGTTCAGACAAATATCTGCTTACATTGTTTCTGCGTGCCTTTTGTAAATGTTATTGTTGCTTATGTTAGTGTTGCTGGTGCTGGTCATGTTGCTGTCGCTGTCTCTGTCATCATTGTTATTATTGTTGTCCTGCAGTGATTTAATATTTAGCACGCTCGTAGCAGGAGCAGCGGGGCACGCGAAGAGTGGGAATGCGCCTTAGTAAAATTTTAATGCGCTTTTGATTATGGCCATAAAATGGCAACCAAAATGCAAGTGCTGGAGTTGGAGGTTATGTTGGGCTTGGCAGCTTCTGGATTTGGCTGTTGTTCCACCAGTAGCAGCGCAACAACGCCGCCGGCATCGTCCAGTGCAGCCAAAGCACGAAAATCTCTGTGCTAGATAAAATATTAATTTATTTTTTGTTGCATGCTTTGCGGCGTGGGGGCTGGACCTGAAGCTCGAGCGGCTCTGAGGTTTGGGGTTGGGGTTGGGCTTAGAGTGACTGCAACGACGTCCGAGCTATAGTGACCATAAAATTGCACATACTATGTACGAATATACCATGTACTCGCATATTTGACCGCTCGTTTTTAAATAACCGTTTTGCGTCCGCGTTCCATTTTTCCGTGCTCTGGTTGTTATTAATATTTTCATTTCCATTTTGTTTACTGCTTGTTGTTTGTCCTATAAGCTCAAATTTATTCTGGCACATTAATGTATGTGCTGGAATTATTTTGCTGCTTATGAATTTTCTGCAGCATGTTTTATGTCGAATTTTTATTTCCTGTTTCATGATAGACAGATTGAAGGAATCTACAAAAGCTTATTGCACATAAAAACGCAGCGGTCGGAAAATTTATTATTAATATTTTTATTTGCTTAGACTTTAGTTCCTAATTGCAATTTTGAACACAAATCCAGCTTTTTTAAAAGAATTAATTCAACTAAAACTATATTAGCAAAGAATAGTACGTGTGTTAGAGTATAGTGTAATTTTATTAGAAACTTTCCAAATGTGTTCAAGTACCAAGATTACGCTAAAACAAAATTTGAAATATTTTTCCATGTTACATTCTGTGTACGAACCATAATTGCATTTCAAATTTCATCCAATTCAGTCGCCCTAAGAAAAGTTATTATAGAAAGAATTTCACTCCCATTTCACTACGCCCAAAAACTACAGAAGGTAGTGAGTTCGCTCTTCTTCTGCTTTTTGATTCGCGCATGCTTAAATGATGACCGCTAATCGCCGAAATTGGCTGGAACCCTTATACTGAACTTAACAAGCAGTAAATGTGAAATGCCTAAACACTTCACTGTGCTTAAGCACCTCAAGGTACACACAATTTTCCTCTTCCAACCTACCAAATTTGAAACATTTATTTCCCATGTTGTGTACGGAGCCAACACACAACCCGCTTCGCCCAGGCCTCCACTAGCTTCCACTCCTTAGATCCACGAGTTCCGCAATCCAGAGACAACTATAAGTACAAATTGAACATTTAACCCATTATGTTTTGGTATGTGTCTGCGAAATGAATAAATAAATAAGTTACGACGGCAACTAAGGGGACTATTCTGTTTAAATTTTCCATTAATTCCATGCCAACGGTATCGGTGTGGTAGGCTGGTATTGGCTAAGATGGTTTTTGCGGAGGAAGCAGTGAGAACAGGTACGGTGGTGGCATAATTTTTGGTTCATTATAATTTTCCAATGTATTTTGTTTGTAGGAGAATGTGTATTATTTCTTATTTTGCTGGCTGGCAAGCTTCTGCGCCTAAAAGTGCGCTTCGACACGCTTTAGGCTTACACACTCGAAACTCATTACCGTAATTTTCAAAAATTTATGAATGTTAATTGGAATATTTTGTGCGCGCCACGTTGTTGAGTAAGCTTAGTATTAGCCTTGGCATTGTTGTAGTTGTTAAGACAAAAAGTGCTTATTAAATTATGCTAATGAGTTCTTGAGCCATCTATCAATGGTAGTCTCCCTCTACGTTTTGCCTCAGTTCTCGGAAAGATTCGGCCAAATGACATGCCAGCAATTTTTGGTGCTTAATTTGGCACTGGCTTCGAAAGCGAAGCTATCCGAACGGGAAATTGCAATTATGGGCGGGCTCTAAAATAAAAATAAAAAACACAACGACTGTTGTTATCACAATGGTAGAGAATTCAACTGACCAAACGGTCAAAAAACAGGCGACCAGTTAACCAATGCGACCAAACCAGGGATGTGGGTGCCATGCTCATCGTTCTGGCATTCATTCCAATTTGTGTAAGCTGCAACGTACGGGTATGTTCTACCAGTTTATCAATTAGTCATGACAATGCGAGGCCTAGAACTCATGCATTGTTTGCTTCCTACAATGCCTCCGTATTTTCTGGTCCCACTCATCGCTGCATGCTTCTGCACTGGTGGCATATGTGTATGTGTATGTGCGCGGTTATTGGCTGTCCTGATTGTGTGATTGTGAGAGAATGAGAATTGGGTATGCATACATGGAATACGCAAAAACCATTTTGTGGTCAGGATGCGCGAACCAGTACCATCCATCCCATAATGAAAAGTGACAGAAACAAAATGTTGGTAGAGATTGAAAAATGAAGTAAACATGCATTGCAAAATGACCATACGAGTTCATACTAATTTTCTCTTACAGGATGTTTTGCACAAAATATGTAATCCACATGGCCAAGTGCTACGCATTGTTATATTCAAAAAGAATGGTGTTCAGGCCATGGTTGAGTTCGACAGCCTGGATGCGGCCACACGCGCACGCGAGAACCTAAACGGAGCTGATATCTATGCCGGCTGCTGCACATTGAAAATTGATTATGCCAAGGTGAGTGCCTTCCAAACACATACATGCATATCTACATACATATATAGGTAGTTACATACGCAATTACTCTATGGGTGTTCCATCCCTTTTACAAATTGCAGCCCGAAAAATTGAATGTTTATAAGAATGAGCCCGATACCAGCTGGGACTATACGCTGAGCACAGGTGAGCTTTTACCAAGTGCGTTCAAATTTTTATTACCTTTTCTTATTAGCCTGTAAGCAACTGTACAATTACTTGCACCTCGACACCACACACACATCTACACACCTCAGTATACATATAAATATATACATGTATACATGCCTTTCTGCATTCTTACATACAAACATTTATATTTATTCATTGTTCCACATGTGCTTCTATACAAAACTGTTAAGGCCAATTACATAGTTAGTAGTTTACAGCTACAGTTTCAAGTACATGTTCAATTTTTGTTTAACAATTTTAATAAACTTTTGGTTTTTATCTCAAACTTTCATAATTGCGACATTTTGTAACAATTAATTAACTTGCGCTGTTGCCTTACACTTATTCCACACACTCACCCGGCGTATGCACAAGATTTAATTAGCAATCTACGACTGCAACAAATTGAAAGCTTCCGATTTTTGAACAATTTGTAACAATTACCTATTAATGCAACTTTTGACATAGGTATATTGTAGTGAACAACAGAATTTGTACAGGGTGCTGAACAAAGTAAGGTGATACGGCATTTTCTGATGCCTCCTTCTGTATGTAACAGGTTTTTTGACATAAAATCGCATTTTAACCATCACCACTTCCCGTACTCGCCAGATTTGACACCGTTCGACTTTTACTTTTAGGGAGAAATGCATGTGTTAATGTGCCGAAGGAAAGCATTATGTGGACGTAAAATCCATTCAAAGGCTTGCATCGACATTCTAAGGGCTATACCGGCCAACGTGCTAAAAGCCTTGTTCGACCTGCAAATCACTATATGGAGTCCGAAAGAGACTATTTTTAGTAAAGTACATAGTTTGTTGTTCTTATTCTGAAAAGAACCCCATTTACTTTGGAATACACATTACAGAATGCAAACTTAATGATAAGAAATTTCTATTTGATTGGAATTATGGTACATTAATTCCAACTAATCATTAAATTGAAGATTTGATTGGTTATAATTCTAGTTAAGACCAAACCATATAAGTACAATAATAGGCAACGCGTATTGGTCAGGAATCTTATAATAATACTAGCAGGTATTGCCCGTCGTAACCCGAAAGGTATTTTTATAAGTTATTTCTATTTTCAAACAAACTTTGGAGCTCGTTTTCCCCCCTTTGGAGCTTGAATTTTCCAAAATCCCTTCTTAGTGGGCACCTTCACTATGAAAGGATCCTTGAGCCCAAAATTCCGCTTCATAGCTCTTGCCGTTTGGGCTGTGGGCTGTTGACGCGGTTTCCTTTTGTGCCCCATTTTTTTACAGGAAAACTCCCATATTTCAGTCCCCAAAAAAAAATTTCAAAAAACCAAGTATACAGTTTTTCTTGGAATTTTTCTGAGAGTTTTCAAACTAAGTTTGAAGTTAATCAGATGAAATTGTAGATTTTTCATACAAACTTTGGAGCCTGTTTTCCCCCCTTTGGAACTCGAATTTTCCAAAATCCCTTCTTAGTGGGCACCTACACTATGAAAAGATACTTGAGTCCAAATTTCAGCTTCCTAGCTTTTACCGTTTGGGCTGTGCGTTGATCACCAATCAGTCAGTTAGGACAAACTGTTTTATGTATATATAAAGATTTTATTCTGACTTAAGACCATTTGTGGTTAGCTATCAGACTTCCAGCAGCATTTTATTGATGTGCACTATTTGTAATTTGTATTTGAAAGCTGTTCTCAGATAAGTGCATGACGAAGCGGAATAAATACACATAATATGTTCTGCTTAGCTTTTGCTTAGATTTTTTTTTTATCCAAAATCGGAAACGCCACTGCCAAAAAAACCAGCTCAACCAACAGCTTCTACACCATTCTGCCACGGATGGCAATCCGGCACATGTCGCTTTTTATGACAGGCGACAAAGTTGCAAGTTAAATGGCATTTTTAATTTTTTATATTTCTTAAATGAAAATGAAATTAAATGGTTGGTCGTTCCATTCTCTTCGGTCTTTCTATGTTGTCGTTCCGCTTTCTGTTTGTTGTCAGCTGGACAATTTGTAGCCACCGGGGAGAAAAGCGAGCATGGACAACATCAAAGGCTGCAAAACTGTAGACGTGCCCAGGGTTGCCGGGTTGCCCCGTTCCGGCGTGCTTCAAGTTAACGCACCGTCAGGCCGCCACTTTGCATTACGTCGCAAGTGTCAACAACGTCATAACGCAAATAACAACAACAAAAGCATACGAGCTGACAAGTGGCGCTGTTTCTGCCAAAACGACAATAACTCAGACATCAGGCTGACTTTTTGGCCAGGCCAGTCCAGGCCATGGCAAGCAATCCGTTGTTGGGCTTGCCGTTCTGTCTGGTGCAGAAGAAATGAGTGTCGTAGCTTGCTTGCACTATTTTTCCATGCCAGACGAGGAAGTCGAATTCGAATGTGGATGTTGGAAGTCGGTGGGTTGTCAACGGTGGGTGGAGCGGATATCTAGGAAAAGGGGATACTAGGGAATAGGCCTGGCTTATTATTTTGTTTGCTAACTGGATGAACGGCGTTGTCATTTGGAAGCACCTTCCGTTTGTGCCAATCAATCGCAGGGTGAATGAACGATGTGACCTGGATGAGTTAGTCGCTGTAGCCGGTCCATTATATGCACGCATAAATAAAACAGTTTGTTTTTCGTAGCCACGATATAAAATGTCTGATTTCGGTCCACTTAGACTTCTTCAATTTGCAACGAAGAACTTTCACTCGCTGACCGCAACCCGACCTTTGACTTTTTGGTAACAGCTCAGAAAACCCAATCAATAGAATTCATTAAAAGCTCAAGCACAAGTGTCACCCACAAGGCCAGACTGCGAAAGAACACGTCAAACTTTTGTGAACGTCAATTTAGCACGACTTTACAAGTATTGTACTGACAACAACAGCAATCACCCTAACACAAACAATAACAACAGCTACCGTCGAACACAAGGAAAAATGAAGAAGTTAAATAGAAAGTAGAAAATGCAAATATAATGTTTGCATAAGATTTTCGCCTTCTGTTCTACCCTCAGCAATCGATATATACGAGTACACCAAATGCCAGCACTGTACTTCGCCCAGTACTCATATAACCAACTGACGGTTAGCGACCACCAACTACCAACCACACCCATCAGCAATAACAGTCACAAACGAATTTTAACTGTAACAACAACAGTCAGCGGCAGCGGTAACGGTAGCGACCAAAGTAGTAAAGAAGTATTTTCCAACTTGCTTGAGTGCGCCGCCCAAGGCAAGCTCCGCCCTTCCCTTCCCTTCCCTGACGTTCCCTTCCCTTCCACCAACTACACACGAAAAACTTGTATTTGCATTTGCAAACCGTAGCTGACGTTCGAGCGGTGCCTTCTTACTTACTAGAGAATTGTTTACACTCGCCTTCAAGTTCTTTAGGTATGGGCTCCTCGCTTCTCCCTCCGACAACCACGTGCATTTTCTGTAACTAAGTACGTTCGCTTTCTTAATTTGTCGACTCCCCAGTGGTAGCCCAGTCTCAACCCAGTCCGTGTGTTATCCTTGCACGTTTAGATGAATTCATCCTCATCAACAAACTCGATTTCGTGTTGTCACGCGATCTTCTATTTGCTGTTGTCTGCCTTTCGTCAAACGGTTTTGTAATCCCTCTTCCTCCTCTAACCGCCCTCACTTTCGAACCCAGATGCAAATTGTTTTTACTGCAAGCTCCACAGAGTGACTACTACTCGGGCTCAAGGACATTTGGTTTTTTTTGTTCTGCACTTTCCTTGACAAACATACGTGAATTTTCAAAGTAAATTTTGTAATGCGATTTTCGTTTTGCAAGCGATGCAAAGTGGCAGTTTTTACTCTTTTCGATTGATTCGAGAGACTATAGAACGTTTAAAGCTTACACCGCTGCAGACCATAATTTTTGCCTACATTTTCTAAGCGATCTTGCAAACTATTTTAAATGTAATAATAGCATAAGTGTTTTCCACTATTCCACTTATAATTCTCTTACGGGTAATACATATTTATCCCGATTCCCGACGTTCTTCTTCATAGAAATGTTCGCTCTCAAAACTGTTAATTAACCGCAGAGTTCAAATTTAACCACAAATGTAAATATGATAGCCACCATTATTATTTATTTTTAGATGCATGGCAAAAACAAAATCCATAAAGCTGAGAGCCCAACAAATGGGTAGCAATGTGGAAATTTCAATAAAAGACAACACAAACAAAACACATGGCGATGGCAGGAGTAACAAAAACCACAGTGAGGGAAAGGTTAAAAGTCGTAATGCGGCGACAGCAACAGAAACAAAAACTTCACTGAAATGAACGAAAGCGACATTCAAATACATAGACAAAGTCTTTGGGTGTGGAACGAAAGTTTCTCTGCGAAATAAATACATACATTTTAATAACAATTTTTGTTTGTGTTGAAATTATAACAATCGCTCTTACACTCCGACTTCTGCAGCCATATACGAGTACAGCAGGTAGTCTGTGATATTTAACATGGCCATAGCCTTAGAAGCAATCGAATTAAATTTATACATGGTATATAAATAATTCATGGATCACAGACTAGCGCTGTGAGGGGGGAACACTTTTACCCAACACCCTAAAACCACAAACATGTGCACATTCATACACACACACAAACACACCCGAAATTTCAATTATGCGCCCATAAATGCAAAAGGCAGGCTACTATCTCGCCGTGCTACTATTTGGTCATCGGCCATCGCCATCTCGCTCTACTACTAATGCCGCCATTAACCGGAAGTATTCTCTCCATGTGCCACTCTCTCTGGAATCCTTGCTTTGTCCTTTAGTTTACTTTATCCTAAATCAACATTTATTTTGTATGCCGTCTCACTCATCCGTTTTTTATTTTTATGGCACGATGGCTTCGTGCTTACCGACCAGGGACCTAGTCCGTTCTGAGGCGAAGGAAACGACTCCTTCTCTTAGCTGTCTGATGATTATTTTCGTTTTATCTTGAGGCTCGCGAATGATTGTTGTGTGTTTCGGCACCATTC